CCCCAAAACCCCAAAACCCCAAAACCCCAAAACCCCAAAACCCCATGATTATGAAAATCAGTAATATGTGAATGTCGTATAAATAAATTTATTTACTAAGGGTAGCTGAATTCAATTTTCAATGATCAAATTTACCTGATATGGTGAATCCCAGCAGTAGTATAACTAGCAGTATATCTAATGAACCCACTATCATAAAGGGATACTAGGCGCCCAAAGAGTCATGTACGTATCCACCAACCTTTGAAAATATCATAGTTCCAATGCTACCTATGAATTGATATACACCCATCATTGAGCCTCTTATATTTTTAGGTATATTTCTAGATAGCAGAGCATCAGTGAATGCATTTTAAAAGCAGTACAGAGCTTACATTAGAGTGATGAGGCAGTATGATGCGATTGAACTTGGTCTCTCGATTAGACAAAAGAACACTATGCACGCTATCTTTAACAGAGTGACGATTGGCATTATGTACTTATACTGGAACATATCAGCTACTTTTCCTGCTGGAAAAATGAGGATCATGTTAATGAATGTTCCGAATGTGTTAAAGCTTTATACTAATAATTATGCCTCCTGTTAATCTTTTAACATTCCAGAATAAATGAAACTAGCAGTCCACAGAGCTAGAAATGGGCCAAACATCATTTAAGTCATTTTGATTAAGAAGTTCCCATAAAGGCATATGATTATTGCTATATTGGTCCTGCATGACTTGAGGACTGTCGAGGATATTTTGTAAAACTTTTTGAGAAAGCCGCCCTTAGCCTTTTATATGCCGTCCACTTTCTTTTTTAATTGAAGAAGTGACTGTGTTGAAATTCTCTTTTTTTTATTCATTCTAGGTTCTTTGATAATGAATAAGCCTGATATAGGAATGATGAATACAATAAGAGCTGCTATTTAGAATTGCGCTCCTAAGCTGTAATCTTTAATTATGTTTAAAAGGATCACATTATTGAAAAACTCTCCAATTTACAATCCAAATATCAAGAGAGCATTAGCTCTGCCCCTGGACCCCTTTTCAATGTAATCATTAATCAAAGGACTGCAAATAGGACCCATAGAAGCCATTGCAAACATTATGCGCAATAGATACAATCCAGGAAAAATGTTTGGTGACACCACTGGAGTAAGGAGAAGTGACAATCCTTGTAAAAAAATAGTAATGCAAAGGGTAATCCGTCTGCCACATATGTCGTAAATGTATCCAACTATGATGACGACTGCCATTTAGCAGAGTACTGAGTAGAATATAATATCGCTGCTTATACTACCTATTTCAGAGTTAGACACATTAAAAAAATCAGGGCTCTTGAGAAGGAAAATCATTTGAACATTAAAGAAGAATAAAAGAATTCCTGCACCGAAATTCATAATTGGAATGGCAAACAGCTAAGTCAAACCGAACTGAGACTTTAGCTTTATCCCGAACAGTGATTTTTTCTTGCTCTTTTTATGAAATACAGGTTTTCTTTTATCTAATCTTGATTATAAGTTCATATATGATTAATTATCTAATTTAATTGAAGCTGCCATGCCATAAATTATTTTTCATTTATAAACTTTTTATCATTATGAGATGTCCTGGGGTTTTGGGGTTTTGGGGTTTTGGGG